TCTCTCTCTCTCTCTCTCTCTCTCTCTCTCTCTCTCTCTCTCTCACTCACTCACTCACTGTCTTCTGTCTCTCTTTTCTCTTTCTCTTTTTCTCACTCTCTCTCTTTTTTTCTCGCTCTTTTCTTGCTCTTTTTCTCACTCTTTTTTTTTTTTTTTTTTTTTTTCATTCTCTCTCTCTCTCTCTCTCTCTCTCTCTCTCTCTCTCTCTCTCTCTCTCTCTCTCTCTCTCTCTCTCTCACTCACTCACTGTCTTCTGTCTCTCTTTTCTCTTTCTCTTTTTCTCACTCTCTCTCTTTTTTTCTCGCTCTTTTCTTGCTCTTTTTCTCACTCTTTTTTTTTTTTTTTTTTTTTTTTAATTCTCTCTTTTTTTCTTTCCCTCTTTCTCTCTCTCTCTCTCTCTCTCTCTCTCTCTCTCTCTCTCTCTCTCTCTCTCTCTCTCTCTCTCTCTCTCTCTCTCAATCTTTTTTTTTCTCTCTCTCTCTCTCTCTTCTGTCTCTCTTTTTCTCTCTCTTTTCTGTCTCTCTTTTTCTTGCTCTTTCTCTCTCTCTTTTCTCACTCTTTATTTTTCTCAGTTTTTTTTTTTTTTTCCTCTCTGTTTTCTCTCTCTCTCTCTCTCTCTCTCTCTCGCTCTTTCTCTCTCTCTCTTTCTTGCTCTTTCTCTCTCTCTTTTCTTGCTCTTTTTTCTCACTCTTTCTTTTTCTCAGTTTTTTTTTTCTTTTTTTTTCTCTCTCTGTTTTCTCTCTCTCTCTCTCTCTCTCTCTCTCTCTCTCTCTCTCTCTCTCTCTCTCTCTCTCTCTCTCTCTCTTTCTTTCTCTTTCTCTCTCTTTCTCTCTCTTTCTCTCTCTCGCTCACTCGCTCACTCTTGTTTGTGTGTGTGTATGTATGTGTATGTGATCTCTTTTCTCCTCTTCCCTCCCCCCTTTTCCTCTCTCTATTATGGCGAACATCTCACCTACAGGCCAACTCCATAACTGCCTATGTGGAGGCAGGGCACAGTGTGTGTGCCGTGAAGATGCAAGACTGTGGTTTCCGTTTCGGAAGGTTTAGCGAGAGTTCCGGCAACACTTTTCTGCACTGTCTGGGAAAACAGCCTCCGAACAGCGGCCTTTATACGATTCCGGTGAGTTTTTAGCTCTTATTGCTTCATTCTGTTGTAACTTTTTATTTCTGAGTCGTCTGGTAAGTAATCTCAAACTTAGGTCTCCTTCCTTCGTATTCATGAATGATACTGAGAGGGGGCGAATCACTTGTGAGAAAATGATCATTGTATTTCTATTTAAGTTTAATGATATAGATATACGGTAACCTTGACCACACCGAATAGCTCGCAAGTGATCACCACTCCTAGATGTTTGGTCGGTCTTGCTCCCCTTCCTCCAACTGCAATTTACTGATCTCTGTCCCTCGACTCGTTCTTTCAAGTTTGGCAAAGTGGCAGTGAAAGAGTTTCATAAGGCATGGAAAGTCTTCTTCGACATCTCCTGGCTGGACTTGCCTCATCGCCGCGTGATCATAGATGTCGTGGCAAACATACCAATGGACTGTGCCCGGGTATTGTTCATGCTGTGTACGGGTGAGAGAGGGCAGACCTACATCAACAACGGCGTCGAGATGAGCTGTGACGAAGAGTCGGACCAACTGATCATCCTCGGGAGAGACAGCAGTGACTCCGACGCGTCCGTAAACTTTCCTAACCAGCGCTTGGTGCAAGACGCAGCTGGGTTGGTGTGCCTTGGAGTTGACGGCCGGATCGGCATCACGATTGATCCCGGGACCGATTTCTATACGCCGATGGGAAAGGTGTTCAGCGGGATGGACGTGTTGCAAGAAGTGGCGGATTTGCAGGACACCTCCAGTGTGAAAGTGGTAGACTGTGGAATTGTCTTGCCACGTTGAAAGGGCTAGGACACTGAGTGTGTAATATCATTGTTTTTTTTCTTATTATTGCGATGTTGTTTTTGTTAATATTATTGTTTATTATTAATATTATTATTATTATTATTATTGTTATTATTTACTCATTATTGTTACTATCAAAGTTATTATTTTCTCATTATTGTTATTATTATTGGTTTTATTATTATAATTACTATTTTGCTATTGTTGCTGATGCCATTGCCATTGTCATAATAATTATGATTTGTAATAGAACTTTAGTAGTAGTAGTAGTAGTAGTAGTAGTAGCAATGGCCTTAGTTATGAAGTTATTTGGATATCAGAAAAAATGTAATGTTATTACTATGATTACGTCTTATTATTTTTCCATTCGTGATTGTAGTGATACTGCAATGTTAATAATATATGCTGTTAATGATTTTTTTTATATTACATGTTTGCAATCATCGCGGCATTGCTCATAGTGTATTAGTCACATAGAGAAAAAATAGTAAATTTTACACTTTTTACTCGATTTAATGTTTATATAAATCTTTATACCTTGTGCCATATTGAAGCAGATTATGCCATGTCATTTGCTGTTGAGTAAAATAAGTGGCTTTCA